AATTGGATCGGACTACACGGGCCAGCCTTCACTCACCACGTGTATCAATAAACCTTAGCCCCCCCCATGATCCTGTCGCTGGTTCACCGTTTTTCCTTTCTTGGACCACTTTGGTAGGACCTGACCACTGCAGACAGGGAACATCCCACAAGACGGCCCTGATCCCATGGGATCTCGGTGGAGCGAGGCTGCTCTACAGTCTCAGATTTATCTGTCAAAAGTGTTGTTCTGTCTATTGTTGCTACTTTGTTCATCTCCTGTTTCAGAAAAGCTAACTTATATTCTGTCTCTGTGTTTAGTTAAAGCCGAACCCAAGACCAGCTTTATGAACTTTGGGATCCCACATTTGCTGGACTCTTATTCATGAAAATATCTGAATGCATGAAACATTGGCCCACACTAACAGGAGAAAACATTTGCCGATAGCACATTTTCCACTTTGTAACTAAGGGGATTATTCACAAAAGGGTGAAGAGTTTGGAGAAGGCCGGAGAAGTGAACAATCTAGGCCAAAGCAGCTTATTTTGAAACATTCTCCAATTCATCTCACTTTCCAGTTCAGCTATGTTGTCCTTGATTGTTCACTTATCCTGCCTTCTCCAAACTCTTCACCCTTTTGTGAATAACCCCCTAAATTTTGCCAACAAATATTGGTGGATGTGGTAATTCAAGCACAGGAAATGTGTCCGGGTTTTCTAAGTAAGACATTAACAGATATCTGTGCTACAATTGTGTATTTAGTGCTTTGTTCAGCTTCAATGGGTAAACTCACACATCGTTGATTTTTTGTTTTATATTATGAAGTACTCCAACCATACATCCTAGATCCTTTCTGGATTTACATTATGGTGAGTGTAACAGGAGGCTATAGAGCACATATAAGGTGGCCAGGAACACCCAAACCGCCCAGATGGACAGGAACAGAACATGGAATTATTACAGGGAGATCTTGCTTTTTGAGTATCCAAGAAATACTGTCATAGACTCGGCCGGCGCGTCTACTCGCTCCAGCGCCGTGCTGTCTCTAGGGTGATGTCACGCCGCGCTCCTCCCACGTAAATAATCAGCTGCTCCGATCACTCGGCGTTCTCTTAATTTGGTTCGTCGAGTGACGGACAGCGAACCCCACGACCTCTGCGTTAGCAGAACCTCTCTGACTCCCTGCAGGCGACCCCGCTCTGCCACCGGCTCCCCTTTGAAACCCGGACACAGCCTAACAGCACAGCCAGGAGGCACATCTCTCCCCTCATCGAGCCCACATGTAACTGCAAGTCCATAGCTGTGGAGACAAGCAAGCTGCTGCCTTTGCTACAAGGCATCCACAATTAGCTGTGATAGCTACTTATCGTTCCTGCATTGGTAACCATATGAACTGTGGAGCCTATCTCCATTTAACCTCTGGAGTCATTCACCTGGCATAATTATACTGCTGACTATTGCATATTAAGATTGTCTTACCATTAAGGAATGCTCTAATCAAAACTGCTTGTATACATAGTAGTAATGTGTTACTGTTAAGGAGAACTCTAACCCTGGCATAAGTCATACTGATGATTGTTGCAATTTAGGATTGACTTACAACTGAGGAGTACACTAACGTTAACTGTTACTTCATGCAAATTAATATTGTGTTACAGTTAAGGAGAACTCTAACCCTGGCATGATTTCACACTGCTGATTGTGCATGTTGTGTGTGGGACAATTAGGAGTACCCTCTTCTGAGTTGCAGTCCATTACCAACCTCCATCATTAACCAAGATTGAATAAATAGGTCCTTCCCTACCCTAACTCCAGGTGGTATATGATGCCCACGGTAATCCCGCCGCACTGAGTGTAACGGGATCCGCAGACTGAACCACCTCCTCTCATTTCACTTCCCGTGATATCCGCAGCTGAGATCCAAACAACCCGGGCGCTGTGACAAATACAAGAAGGCAGGAACTGACCCGGTCTACTATGCTCCATCTTTAACTACAATCTAACTTTTGAGTAAACTGACCCATTAATTTAAAATAAAGGTTATGTGTATTAGTCTAGAACTAGTTGCTTTAAAGGCAACCTAGCCACCATTACAAATAAACATGAAATGACTAATTGTGCCCTGTACACTCCCATATGGAAGAATTCCAGAGCTGCCTTATATAATGTGAGCAGAAAGTCAGCATGGCCTAATTCCTCAGACTATAGAGAGTATGATCTAAGAAAGCCGATCTGCCTCAAACATGTCTCGCTATATACTTCCCATTATCACCCTTTCTTCTCTCTTTGGATTTGCTCTTTCCTGTCGTTCCCACGAACATGCTGTGGCTCGAAAACCCGGAGACATCATGCTTGGAGGGATCTTTCCCATTCACAGTGGCATTTCTAATTTATTGCAGCGTCCTTATGTAGATGATTTTACCTGCACAGGGTAAGTACTGAAGAAGTTGAAAACAAAATTACGCTTTTCTTTTTAACACAGAAAACTGTTTATTTCGTATACTAGCTCTTCATTTTTTAATGTTAAAACATAGAAATGAAATTAAATAGATTTACTTTTCTCTGAAGTTATTCTGATTAATCAATGTTTACCAACAGCTGAAGGGATTGACATTCTACACCCAGGTTTAGATGAGAGTTGCTTGCAAATTATTAGATGACAGTAAATTAGGACCGGATCTCACAGATTCAGAAGACTAAATCCTACTCCAAATGTCTATGTTATTCTTGGCAGTTCATTTCCTGAACGGTATCTGGGAGACAGGGGCCTTATATTTGCTTCTCCTATGGCTTGAGCACCCTTAGCTTGACTGCCAGTGTCATCAGCTCCCATCCTTCTGTCTTGGTATCCTTGGTAACAATTCTAAGGGACGGGGATTAGGTATTTTTTGGGGGCCCCATCTTCTCATCATGAAGGCCTGCCAAGAGCTTCCCAAACCTTTCTTCATTCAACTTTTTCTGATCTGTAATGCACACCTTTTTGAATTTTCGTTTACTTAAATGGAACTTATGGTACCCAAATTCTCAGTTCTAATGAGTGTCATGACTATACCCCAGTATTTATATATTTTTACTCTTCAATGCAATCACCATGGAATGTGCAGAGTTTGGATGGGAGGTTCAAAGTTGTCGAGTCACCCTTTTCAGATGGCCCCAACTTCCAGACGTAGATGGCCCCAACTTTCAGATGTCGGGGCCATCTACGTAAAACTGAAACAACTGAAACAACTTTCCCTCAACCGGGATAGGGGCTTTCAACATCATCTGTAGTCCACATATAATGCTGTTTCAATGTCTGTACCCCAGCAAATTGTACACCTTTAGTCATGTAAATCGAGGGGTTGATGCTTATACAGACTTCCTGCCTCCAGGGATAGGATTGTTTAAGCAGAACCGAGTGGTTCCACAACTTTCACACCTACCATTCTGTTCATGAACAAATAACATCTACACATTCCATGGTGATTGGATTAAGGTGTCTGGCTACTTGTGAGGATATAAGTGCTGGAGCTAAAAATACCATTGGAATACATCGGACGCAGTTTTGCTCCGGTCTGTAACTGCTCTGCTCCTGGAACGCGCTTGGTGTGAAAAAGGTCTTAGTGTTTTCTTGCAGGCAGTGTATTTGCATATGTTAGGCCTGACTTGAGCTCCAGTCACACCAAATTCAACAGAAACTGGCCTGTCTGGCATTTGTCATTAAAGGAAAAGTAAGATGGGTTTTGGATTATTATTTTTCCTTTTTTAGTGACACGTATATATTCTGTGTAATATGATAAGGACAAGAAAAAAAATTTTTTTTTCTTGCCAGCTAAATGATAAATATTGCTAGCTTGATGTAAAATCGTGTTTTTACCTCAAGCTAGCAAGTGACTTTGAGGCACCTTTCACATTCCCTTTGCTCATTTAATGTAAAAAGCATGTTTACAGAACTCAATAGCGTAGCCTGAAATGTAAACACACAAGCGAAGGAGTCAGAGTAGTGACTCATCTCTTATTGTACTGTCCATGACTCACAAGCCAGTCTTCAGAAAGGAATCTTTGACTGTGCTCTTGTTTTAGCTAACCCAAACTGCTCTAGGAATTAAGAACCAGATTACATTCATATGGCCTGTGACAGTAATGGCCTGTGACAGTAATGAGGAACATTCCACTTCCCATTAGGAAGTCTTGTATGGATATGGCTGAATCAAATAGTATATATATATACTGTATATAGTCTAGAGGTTAAAGATTCATCATATTCCACAGTCCCCTCAGGACTTTTCCAGATACATTTAAGTGTAATCGGATATCTGCTAATCTGCCCCTTGATCTTTCTGGCTTTTACAATGACCCACTAAGTGTTTGAGTTGTTTATATTTGGCCTAGCTGTTTATGAGGGTTTCATGAAGCCCTAATGAAAGTCAACCAAGCAAATACAGGCCTACAATGTAAAACAACATATTTGCTTGAAAAACAATGTACCGCTTTTGGTACCTAAAATCCTGAATAATCATACCGCCAGGGAGGTTAAAGCATTGTCTGTACTTCCCCAGGCAGGGGAGGAACATGGGAACATACTAATGCAAAACATGTTCCCCCAGATGGGTATGTACTCACACAAGAGACATTCATGAGTAGCTGAGAGTCAATAGCAGCTAGAGAGAGAGAGAGAAAGAGAGTGAGCGAGAGAGAGAGAGAGAGAGCAAGAGAGAGAGAGAGCGAGAGAGAGAGAGCACGAGAGAGAGAGAGCACTTGTCTTGTATATTGAATGTAATAATTCCTTTTTCTGATAATCAGAGCTTACAGATTTTCTGCTTTAGTAAAACATGATTGTTTTTGCTTTGCATGTGTCGTTTCCTTGTATTTCTACCTCACTATGAAATCCAGATTCCCTAACAGTTCTAATTCTATCAATTAAAACACCTTGTTTTGCTTTTATTTTCAGACCTAAGAATGACCTCTTTATCATGTTGACAATGTAATGTTGTTTCAGGGGAAATTAAATAAAGTTTATTACTTCATCTTTGTCATTACAGATAAGTGGAGCATCAACCGCTGACATTCTTAGTGATGAAATGAGATATCCATCTTTTCTGCGTACTGTTCCTAAAGACTATTACCAAACCAAAGCAATCATGGATCTGATCAAAACGTTTGGGTGGAACTGGATCGGAATCGTTGTCACCGATGATGAATATGGACTCTCCTCTCTTGATTTACTGAACTCCCTCTTTAAAGACAATGGGATTTGTACAGCCTTTTCAAGGACTGTCTCATCCAATGTGAAACATCCATCTTTGCAGAATCGCCTAAATAATGTAATCAATGATCTCAAAACCAGTACAACCAAAGTGGTAATTATCTTCGCAAAAAGCTCTATTGTGGCTGAGCTATTTAGAGCAGCCATCCGTGAGAATATATCCAGAACTTGGATTGGAAGTGACAGTTGGATAAACTCCAACTTATTAGCCAGTATGCAAGATATTGCAAAGGTGGGAACAATATTTGGATTCACATTTACGAGGGTTTTAATTCCTGGAATAGAATATTATCTTAAAAACCTTTATCCCCCCAGCAATGGAGCTACAAATGAGTTTCTTAATGAATATAAAATGTGGAGATTTGGATGCACAGAAGAATATAGAGAATATCGAAAGTGTTTGAACTCAACTTCTGATTCCTGTCCGGTTCCTGCTTCGGCGATGCACAAATCCCCAGTAGCTTGCACAGTAGAGGATGTCTCTTTGCAAAACGATGATTATTTGGTACATAATATAGAAATAGCATATTCTACAGCCCTGTCTGTTACAGCCATAGCTCAAGCACTGAGAAATATAATGTGCAGAAATGGAACTTGTGATAAGGACCTCCAAGTCTCACCACGCAAGGTTAGTAAATCAAGCAGGACCTGGGCTAAACACAGAAGTCTTATGGTCATTTACAAAGCCAGAAGCTAAGATAGTAGTGTCTCTATTACTCATCAACTTCCAATACGTAGGCAAGCTGGATCAGACTTGGTTCCAAGGGAAGTGACAGGAAAAACAAGTAATTGTGGCATAGGACTCCACACTTTCTAAAATGTAACCTTGTGATACCATATTCCCTTATTAGACCAGACAATAATAAATGAAGAATTATATCTTGTTTCCTTTTTTACTTCCTGGCTAAAGGCCTACTTTTTCATTATCCCTAGGTCAATGGATAAATTGACAGGGTTTGGAATAATTCATCTACTCCTTAGCACCCATAATTGTGGGTTTAGAATCTAAAGGAACTGCTGTTCCTTTAGATTATAATACTTTTATAAAAGATATACTCAATACTTACCCAACTCCAGCTAACCCCCCAAGAACACCACACACCGTTTATATATGTCCCAAACCATTATTCCATCACACCATTTTCTGCATTATAGAGCATAGCTAACCTCTGCCACAAGCAGAAAAGTAGGAAGACGCAGGATATAACGTGACCAGAGTGAATAAACAAACTGTTAAGGAAAAGATTAAAGCCATTTAGGAAACTGTAATGCTGATTGCTAGCTCTTTGAGCAATCCACCCCTTTGCTGCTATACTCACTTTTTTACAGCTGTTTTTTAATCATTTTTACAATGCCTCCCTATAAAAAAAAAAATTTTTTTGGTGGGGGGTGGCGG